TCTTTACTATTTCCTTCCTTCTACTTGCTCTGAGGTTTTCTTTTTGTTTGCTTTCTAATTCTTTAAGTTGTGAGGTTAGACAGTCAATTAGAAATTTTTCTTGTTTTTTCAGGTAGGCCTGTAGTGCTATGAACTTCCCTCTCAGAACTGCTTTTGCTGCATCCCATAGATATTGTGTTGTTGTGTGTTCATTTTCATTGGTTTCCAGGAAGTTTTTAATTTCTTCCTTGATCTCCTCGGTGACCCATTCATTGTTTAATAACATGCTATTTAGCCTCCATGTGTTGAAATGTCTTTGCATGTTCTTGTTGCAATTGATTTCTAGTTTCATGCCATTGTGATCTGAGAAGATGCTTGATATGATTTCAATCTTCTTGAACTTGTAGAGATTTAGTTTGTGTCCTATCATGTGGTCTATCTTTGAGAATGTCCCATGTGCACTTGAGAAGAATGTGAATTCTGTAGTTTTAGGGTGTAATTCTCTGTAGATATCTATTAAATCCATTTGATCTAGTGCTTCATTTAGAGTCTCTGTTTCCTTGCTAATTTTTTGCCTAGAGGATCTATCCAGTGGTGTCAACGGGGTGTTGAAGTCCCCTGCTATGATTGTATTGTTGTCGATTTCTCCTTGGAAGTCCTCCAGAAGATTTTTAATATATTTTGGTGCTCCTATATTGGGTGCATATATGTTTATCAAGGTTATATCTTCCTGTTGGATAGATCCTTTCAATATTATGTAGTGGCCGTCTTTGTCTCTAGTTATGGTCTTCATTTTGAAATCTATTTTATCAGATATGAGAATTGCTACCCCAGCTTTTTTTTGCTTTCCATTTGCTTGGTAAAGTTTGTTCCATCCCTTCACTTTCAATCTATGTGAGTCTTTTGTTGAGAGGTGGGTCTCTTGTAAACAACATATAGATGAGTCATGCTTTCTTATCCAATCAGCTACTCTGTGTCTTTTTATGGGAGCATTCAATCCATTTACGTTTAAAGTGATTATTGATATTAACTTATTTATTGCCATTTTTGTTTAGTGTGATTCTATTTTTCTTCCCATTTCTACTGCTAATTACAGCAGTCCTTTTAACATTTCTTGCAGTGCTGGTTTGGTGCTAATGTATTCCCTTAGCCTTTTTTTTGTCTGGGAAGGTCTTTATTTGATCTTCTATTTTGAATGATAGCCTTGCTGGGTAGAGTAGTCTTGGATTCAGAGTCTTGTTTTTCATGACTTTGATTACTTCATGCCATTCTCTTCTGGCCTGTAGTGTTTCTTGTGAGAAGTCAGCTGAGAGCCTTATGAGGTTCCCTTTGTAGGTAACCTGTTGCTTATCTCTTGCTGCTTTTAGGTTTCTCTGTCTTTAATTTGTGGCATTTTAATTACTATGTGTCTTGGTGTGGGCCTGTTTGGGTTCTTCTTGCTTGGGACTCTCTGTGCTTCTTGAACTAGAATGCCTTCTTCCTTCATCAAATCAGGGAAGTTTTCTGTCACTATTTTTCTGAATATATTCTCTATCCCTTGCTCATTTTCTTCTTCTTCGGGGACTCCTATGATGCGAATATTATTACGTTTCCAGTTGTCCCATAGTTCTCTTAAGCTGTCTTCCTGTTTTTTAATAGTTTTTTCCTTTTGTTTTTCTGATTGGTTGATTTTTTCTACCCTGTCTTCTAATTCACTGATCCGGTCCTCAGCTTCCTCTACTCTGCTTTTTAAACCTTCCAATGTGTTTTTCATTTCTGATATTCATTTTTTATCTCTTCTTGTTGGTTTTTAATTTCCAATTGGCTTATTTTCAGTGTCTCTATGTCCTTACTCATGCTGTTCAGCTTCCTCAAGATCATGGCTCTGAATTCTAGCTCTGTTAACATGCCTAATTGTTCCACATTGATCTCATCTTCGGTGGAGGTCTCTTGCTCTTTCATTTGGCTTCTGTTTCTGTGTTTCACCATTTTGGCTATCACTGTGGGCTTTGGAGCCTGTCAAGTTTTCCCTGTGGGTGTTGGTGTTCTGCTGTTTGTGGCTTCCTCTCCTGTGTTTAGATGAGTGAGGGAGGACCCACGTTGAACACCACTGTCAAGTCTTACTTTCCTGGTTAAAGTTGCCAGCCCAGGAAAGGTACTGTTATCCTCTAGCTTTTTGCCTGGAGGCTAGCAGTCTAGGTTACTTGATGAGTTTTGGGTTGTCAGTTGATTGAAAAGCTCCTTCAGGTGCTTAGCACAAGGGGATTTCTCGATGGTGGGGCAGATGCTAGTTGTTAGTGAGCCTCAATTAGCACTTCAATGTCCCACAAGGTGGGGTTGGATCTCCGAGGGAGGGGCTGCTGCCTCTCCTCAGAGCCCTGGGAAGGAGTAAGATGGCCACAGTCCTGCGTGGTTGCACTCAGCCAAAGCTCTGAGCGCCCTCCAAATCCCGAGTGTCCCGACACAGCTCCAGTCCAGTCTGCCCTCCCTGTGCTGGAGCCCAAGGTGAGTGGCTGTGGCTGTTTCAGCCTCTTTCCTGCTCTGTGCTGTGGAGCTGCCTGGGAGTGTGACCCGAGGGCGCTGCTCCCAGCTAAGGCCACTGCCGAGCTGCTCACCGTGGGCTCCCAGCCCCCGTCTCGCGCCTTCGCAAGCCTACCGGGATGGAGTCAGTGTCCCTCATTGTATGGTCTTCGCAGGCTGCTTTTCTGTTGGTTTTTCCCGTCGATTTGTCTGTGTTGTAGTTGTAATTCCAGTTTGGTTCTGGGAGACGGTCTGTGTAGCTTCCGTTCACTCTGCTACCATTTTTTCGTTCTCTATAAGTAAAAATTTTAAAAAATAATTAATAAATAAGTAACTATATAAAAGTGGTAGTTGGAGAGTGAAAAAATAAATAAATAAAATAAAATATGATAGTTCATGATAGCCCAAACCAAAAAAGCTCCAGCAGTATTTAGTGGAAGTTCAAAGGTACAGAGGTCAAGATGGGTGAGGGTGAGTATTGGTATTGTAATTTAATGGAATCTAGATGATTCTTCAGGAAATTGGAGCAGAACTGAAAGGTTCAAACATATATTATTCCCATTAAATACTGGATATATATCATGCATCGTTATATCAGTCAGGATTCAGTGCCAGAAACTACATGCGTTAAACACGAGGGCATTTATTTAGTGCAGGAATTAGAGGTTACAAATTGCTGGAAGGTCTGAAGGAGTGAATTCTAGGTGAGGCCTGTTAAGAATGACTCCCCAAACCAGGTGCTCTGCCTGGGGGACTGCCGCTGGGGCTGCCGGAAGGCACAGTTGCTGTCGCCGCTGCACCTCGACCTCGCCTGCTAGCAGCAGCGACATGCAGGCCTCGCCAGGAAGCCATTCCCTCACTTCAGCCTTCCAAGTTTCACAATTGGAATCAAACGCTGCTTGAAGGAAATATAGGCATTGTAGTTTTGGCTTAGGAACTTTTCCAAATCTTAGGAGGGCAGAATGAGAGCCAAGCCAAAGTTTCTCCTTTGCACATAAATTAAAAGTCCAGCGTTTCTCTAACACTGCCATCAATAAGTGTAATATTTAACGAGAATTCCAATTTTCTTTAACGTTGCCTTTTTTTTCTGTCTGCTAAATGAGCATATTATGGGGCCTGTGATTTAAATATCCAGAGTGTGTATCAATCAATTAAAGTGTATGGTTGAGTTAAATTAATATTTTAATATTTATTGAGGTCATAAAAGATGCCTGGCATTACCTTGGTAGCTCTAAAAATTTAAACGGCTTACCAAGTTTGACATTACTTAATTTCAAGATTATTTTCAAATCATGAAATCAGTCTGTTTCATAATCAAGTGTGTATGGAAACTTTCATCAAATGCATTTATAACCCTTATTGTATATTCAAGGACACTCTATGATACATTCCATAAGTATAGCTATTCAGATCTTGATATGAAAATTTCACTGGTATACTAGAGGGCAAAAAGCTAAATATAGCTTCTTTCTGCATTGCCCCTTTTACTACAACAACATGTTTGTTGATCTGTTTCCCCTGTTTCCTTTTTCCTGAATCAATAAAAGGTTTGAATAAAGTTAGGACAATTTATGCCAATACTACATAGTGTTTTTTGGAGTGTTGTAAGCTACTGAGAGAGGTCTTATGATGTTTTAAATGGCTATAGATGGTTTGTATTCAAGGGTAGAATAAAAAATAAAAACAAACACAAAGAAACTGGTGAATTATAATATGATTGTTAGCTTGACTGTTAAGCAATGAAAGTGTTCAGGACTAGAAGGTGAAGGTGTTCAATGCTTAGATAGGTTTCATGTGACAATGTAAGGATAGTATTTTTGTAGTCAAATAGGTTCTATTTGTGATTTATAATGATTCTGAATTTGGAATTCACCTCAATTTTTTCTTGCTATTTGCATTAGAAAGAATTCATTTTAAAGAACTTTAAGAAAGAACTGACTTAATTTTATTTTAGAGCACAGTGAATGTAAGACTACATTTCTTATATATTCTAATAGGATCATTTCAGAGAACAGAGCATTTCCTTTAACATTATTTTTATTATTCATTTATTAGTTTGTTCATCTGTAGTTGTAAATATGATCTTTAGATCTAGGTAGTACATAGTTGCCTTTCTAACATGTATTTTATTTTTGTGAAATTCTAAGGTTTGATTAGACTCTGAAAGAGCCCTTGGATTTCTTTCTTTACCTAACCACATAATTTCAGAAAATTCTCTGGTTAAATATTTGAATGGTAATATCTGATCAACAAAATATTTGAGTGTTTTTCAAATTATTCCTGATCATAACTTTCATTATCGTTCTTAGAGGTTATCTTTGATTGTTGGGTATCTGTGGTACTTCACCAAACAAGTTTAATTTATGCTGATTTGACTTAGTCATCTTATAAAATAATTTGTCAGAGGATGAATGTGTGGGAAAATATCAGATAATTATAATTAAGAATGTTTTTATTTGAGACTTTTAAAAAATGTCAATAATAAAGTGTGTTTTAATCCATTTATTTTTCTTTGTCCTCAGGTGGATCTCCATATTTAGCAACCAAAATAAATGAAGCAAAAGACTTGCTGGAAGAAACCACCAAACACTGATTGATGCTCAAGGATGACCCTGAAGGGAAAGGGGGCAGGGAAAGGGGTGGCACTAAGAAACCAAGCCCTGGAAATGTAATCTGACCACCACCGTCATCGTTTCCATACATGTGCTGCCCTGAGTGATCATTTATTCCACCGTTAAGCAGTATAATAATAAAAGACTAATGATATTTTATTATCTTTTAAAGGAATACCTTAAAATTCTATAGCTAATCTTTTTTTCTCACTGTCTTGCTTTCTTTGTGTTAGGCATACATTTTAATATTTTTGTTCTATTCGTTTTAAATTCCTCACCTGCTGCCCCCCTACACAAAAGTATCCAAAAAATATGATCATCAGTAATGTAATTGGTGTTAGTGAGCAATAAGTAGAAATGTTTTTACTGCTTATACAGGGGTGGGCAAAGTAGGTTTACAGTTGCATTGTGGCATTCTTTTGATTTAATAAAGCTATTGTCATAATCATGACCTGCATGGTTTTTTTCCATATGACCACTGTAGACCTTCTTCTGCCCACTCCTGTGTTTGTCCTCACATTGTCCCCGTTTCCTTGGAGGAATTGAGCACTCTGCCTGTGCAAAGGGCTTTAAATGTTTTGAGACCAAGCACTGACTGCCATCCCCATGGGGAGATGATCGGAAACTTAATGGAATTTACAAAATGGTGTTTTCTAAAGTAGTGGAGGACTCGTTAAAGAACTCTGCTCTCTCGGAGACCCTATGGCCGAAGCATGGGAACTTAGAGAGCTACTAAAATGATTAAAGATTTACAAAGTGAGCTCTGTGAGGAAAGGCTGAAAAGAGCTACGAGAAGTCTGAGGAGCTCATATTTAATTATAGTCTTCTGGTACTGTATATTTATTCAGTCATTCATTCCAAATGACTACTTAAAATGTGTAAGATGCTGCAGTGCGCCCTCTGGGAGTTACCGGTGTGGACTGCACATGGATCCTGGCCCAAAGGAATTTATATTTTGAAGAAAGATAAATCACATGAACACTATTAGAGATGGATAGATGATCTGCTAACGAAGTTCAAAAGAAGGCCCGGCCTGTGTGGCTCAGTGGATTGAGCCTTGTCCCATGGACTGAGAGGTCCCGGTTCAATTCCCAGTCAGGGACATGCCCGGGTTGCCGGCTCGATCCCCAGTAGGGGGCGTGCAGGATGCAGCCAGTTGATGTTTCTCTCTCACGTGGATGTTTCTTTCCATTCCTCCCTCTCTAAAAAATCAATAAGAAAATATTTTTTTAAAAAGTTCAAAAGAAGAAAGGAACATTTTACACAGAGTATTGGGGGAGGTTCATAGAGTAAAAACAAGAGATATGCCATATGATTGGTGGTGAGTCATTGTGTTTCTTCTGAGATTACTCAGAATAGCAGGAATGGGATATTAATTACTGTGATTAGGGTTCAGGGTTTCTCAAAAACAAGGGTTGACATATGGTCTTGAAGAACTGGCCCTTCACTTCACTAAATTATTTTCTCAAAACAGCCCCTGGTCATTATCACTTTTTTATTCTAAAGGTGAGAAAACATTCAGATACAGAAAACCAGCATTATTTTCAGTATTACTTTGCAAATTTTGGGTTCATCCCAGGTAAACTGAACTACCAAATTTCATCTACAAATACTTTTGAATATTCTTTTTTTTTTTTTTTTTTTATGCTCACCCGAGAGTATTTATTCATTTATCTTCAGATAGGAAGGGAGGGAGAAAGAGAGAGAAAGAAACATCAATGTAAGAGAGACACATTGACTGGTTGCCTCCCGCATGACCCCGACCAGGGCCAGGAACCGAACCTTAACTGAGGTACATGCCCTTGGCCAGAATCAAACCTGTGACTCTGGTCTGAGGGCCAATGCTCAAACCGCTGAGCCAAACCGGCCAGGGCAAAATACTTTTTTATATTCTAGATGCATCTTTCAGTTTATTGCATCCTGGGTCGGGAGTTCTCAATGTTGGCAATGTTATCAATATTGAGTTGAATAATTCTTTTTTGTGGGAGCTCTCCTGCGCAATGTAGGATGGTTGGCAACATTCATGCCTGTATCTATTAAAGGTCAGTAGCACCCCTCAGTTGTGACAAATGAAAATGTTATGGACATTGCCAAATGTCCCCTGGGGTGCAAAATTGCCCCTGATTGAGAGCCATGCTGTAAATGTTCAGTGTTTTGTTTTTTGACACATAAAATAATGGCCTCAATTAAAATTGCTTGAATTTTGGAGTTAGTAAAATATCATTCTTGCTTTAAAGCCTCCTTGCATGTCCTAATTTTATTGTGCTTTAGTGCTTTTCATTTTCCTACTCACATGCCTTCTAATCCTCAGATTTTCCCATGACGAAAGCCCGGAGATCATTGAAGGCCAAGCTGAAATGTATCTCTGCTTTTCCGGTGCTTCCCGTAAAAGTAATATGAATCAACTCTCTGGGAGCAGGGACCATATCTATCTTGTTTACTGCTACATTGGCACCCAATAAATATTTGTTGAATGAATGAATAAATTCCCATACCACTTTATTTCTCACTTTATAGTACTTACATCTTGGTACCGTATGTAACATGCCTTATTTCTCCATTAAAGTATAAGAACCTTTAGAGCAAAAATGTTGCCATTCATCTTTGTAACCTCTCCAGTGTGGGGCACTTGTATTTAGTAGCGATCATAAAGTTGTAAGTACTAAGAAAATGTTTTCTGAATACTCTACTTCAAAAAGTGTTACCGCCAATTTTGAAAGTTATGCTATGTAGTATTTGAGTACCTTCAGGACATACTTTTAATTGACATATTTTCTGATGCATACTGTATTCGTCAGAATTTGAGTCCCAGCATTAGCTTGGAATTTCTTTCATTCCCATTTTTCTGCTAAACATGTGCCTTAGTGTTAGATCTGGTTTTGAATATTATCCTCCTGTTACATGATCTTGGGCAATGTCTATAATTGCTTCATCTATAAAATAGAGGAAGTAATAATCCTAATGAGGTTGTTGTAGGGAGTAAGAAGGTGTAAAGCATTTAGTCACAAAAGTTATTCTTTCACTGCTCCTTTAAATTTAAATCTTAGAATACCTTCAATTAAGGTTTGAGTGTTCCAGTAATCATTTATCTTACTCTTGAATCTGCAGTTTCGGAGCACATGGTAGGGATAGCTCTTTTCTATGTCATGCAGCCTCAACCAGGGCAGAAGGAGCCACTTCATCTTGGCACTGGCTGTTGGCTGGGACCCCGGGTTCTCTTCACGGGGGCTGCTCCAGAGGCTACGAGAGCATCATCACATGATGGTAGCTGTGTCGCAAGAGAAAGTGGTCCAGAGAAACAGGAAGTGGAAGCTGCAGCCCCACTTGGGTCTGAACACTGGCAGTTGTTCTCACAGCCATAGAGCCTGCCCAGACGGCAAAGGGAGAGGATGTAGAGCGTTGTGAAACAGTCAGTGGTCGTCCGTACCATGTAGCAGGGCAGGATCTGGTCCCCTCCCCCCGCGCCACCCTAGTCAAATCAGTTAGGGCATTGTTTTTAAAAATTACCAGGAATGTAGAATTTAAGTACAAGTAGCTGAAGCAGTTTCAGATGATATAGTGGCTATTTTAAATATTAATTCAGTAGTCATTCTCTGAATAGTAGTGTCCTTATAAAATTAGATTTTAAACAGCTACCCACTCTCAACTGCTTATTATCTTAAAGGCTTATTTGAATGGTTACCTATTTTCAGTAAAGATTGCTTTTACATATTTGCTGTCATTGCATATTCTTAATTAAATTCGTTGTTGAGATTGCAGCTTCTGTTTATTCTTATTTTTTAGATACAATCTGAGGGAACAGGAAAGACCTTTTAAAAACAAAATTACTCCTCAGATTCCAGAGAAAGTGTAAGTCAAATGGACAGTTAGTTAATTAAAGGGGGGCCGGGGATGCCATGTAGACCATGGTTGATGGTGCCAATCTCCAGCATAAAGTCGAAAGTGGAGAGAAGTTACTAAGGAAAAGTGTGTTGATTGTGGAAGACATTATTTTATTTAGCCTTGAAACCATTTTCTTTCTTTGGTTTGAAATGCATTTTAGCCATTCAGCAAATATTGTACACTTACTACGTCATGAAGTAAAGATATAAAATAAATTCATTCTTAAAATGTATAGTATGCTACTCCTGGCCGGTTTGGCTCAGCGGTTGGAGCGTCGGCCTGTGGTCCAGAGAGACCCAGGTTTGGTTCCCGCTAAGGGCATGTACCTCCATTGCAGTTTGTCCCCGACCCTGGTTGGTCGTGCGGGTGGCAGCCACTCGATGTGTCCCTTTCACGTCGATGTTTCTCTCTCCCTCCCTCCCACTTTCTCTGAACAAAAAATGGAAAAATGTCCTCAGGTGAGGAAAACAAAAACAAACAAACAAATGTATTTTATGCTAAAACCAATAGAAAAAAAGATTCTTAAACAGAGAATTTTTCTTCATACTTTTGAATTAAGAAATATATACTTATGATTACCCAGCAGTGTTATTAGAAATAACATATTTTATCCAAGTACAGAAATCCTTTGGTTGCCATGGGAAACCTGGAACGCAAAAAAGAGCTTTTAATGACATATCTGCAACACATCTGGCAATTAGCTTAAGGTAGTTTAATGACATTTGTCAGAGAAGATGAATTAGCCAGGCCCTTAATGTCAAAAATGTGAAGTTTCTCTTACCCAGCCCACTTAGGATGAGCTACAGAGGCTGAGTGAGAAGGGAAAATCCAAGTAGCAGCTTGTTTCGCACAGTGGGGACTGCACTGTCCACAGGCCTCACTCGTCAGGGTCATCGCCTGGGGTAACGGCCTCTGCAAGGGGGTTCGGTGAAGTGGGTAAATGTGTCAGCATCGTACCTGCCTCCTAGTGGAAAGGCAACCCAAAAAGTGTGGTCTCGTTAGCACTAAATCTGTACCATACACTTGTCAAAAACATTCCATGAATTGTGAGCTAAAATTTCATTTATGGCGGAGTTATACATATTAGAAAATTAGAATTTTTGTTAGAATAGTTTATTAGCTGGAAAAGTTGAGAAGGTTTTCTGGGTGTATCGTTTTTAGGTAGACTCTAAGTGATCTGGATTATTGCCTACCAGTGAAATTGTTGGGCATGGTAGACAAAGAAAATGTTCCTTCTAATGATTTTTATGAGCTGAGTAGCTATTGTTCCCAGCTGAGTGCTCTTTTCCTTTTTTTTATTGTTGCTGAGCAAAAGAATTTATGAAAAGCTTTTAAAAAAATTATTTAAAGCCCTGCTCAATTGAAATGCAAGTTCATTACTGTTCATTTCTCTTCCTGCCATAATATCCCTTTTCCCCTCTGCCCTGTTCAGCAGTGCCTAGCAGCACTGGTCAACATCTGAAGTCTGACAGACTGTTACATAGACATGCAATCTCCAACATTAAGAGTGAGTATAATTTCATATTGCTAGGATATGATCACTCGGGCTAGATGTTAGCCCGACATTTCAAATTTGTACCTCAATTTAGAAAAAGATGCCCCTGGAAAATTAAATGAACAGTGGGAAACTTAACTTGATTTTAACAAGATGAAAATCATCTTGAGATACGGCTAAAAAACGAAGAAATTGGAATGGTTTCTTTTCCTAAATCCAAAATATTTCTTTTAATTTTTGTTTATTGATTTTAGGGAGAGAAAGAGATTTGTTGTTCCACTTATTTATACATTTATTAGTTTCTTGAATGTGCCCTCATTGGGGATTGAACGCATAACCTTGGTGTATTGGGATGATGCTCTAACCAACTGAGCTACGCGACCTGGATATATTCTTACCCGTGGATCTGTTTTCATTGATTTTAGAGAGAGAGAGAAACATCTATGTGAGAGAGAAACATCGATCAGCTGCCTCCCATATGCATCCAGCCAGGGATCAAACCTGCAACCTAGGAATTGAACCCACAACCTTTTGGTGGATGGGACAATGCTCCAATCAACTGAGCTACCGGCCAGGGCTTAAAACATTTTAATAATAGCTAATACTTGTTAAGTACCTTGTTTCAAGCTTCCTATCAACATTACCTCTCTTAATTTTCATGGCACCCCTAAGAGATTGGTACTATTATCCCCGTTTTACAGATGAAGAAACAAAGGCTCAAAAGAATTTAGGAACTTTGCTAACGTTATATAGCTCTTAGTGGTAGGACTAGGACCCATTTCCATTTTGGCTTGACTGAAGCACATGCTCTTTCCCAATACTTTGTACAAGTTCTAGGTACATGGGACACTAGTCAAATGAAGGGCTTACGTGGCTGTTGGCTCATTCTTTGGTGGTTGTGACCTTTGGCTCTAGATTGCGAAAGGAGATTCGTGGAAGGATCCAATGTCATTGGCATTATAAGCAAGGAGTACCTAATGTCTTTAATTCTGTCCTGGAAGCCTATGATGTCCATCCAACTGCACATAGCAAAAGTTCGGTTGCAAAGTTTATCAGTGTGGGTTTCTTTGACTTGGAGTGGGAATGGAGGGAACTGATGAGATTTTATCTGAAACATTCATGGGCAAGAGCTTCCAAGGAGACCACCTAGAGCAGGTTCAGAAGACAGCTCGTGAAAGTGAAGCAGCAGAGCTTGGGAGAGAAAGGAAGAAGTTGTACAGTAAAATAAAGATGAGGACACGGAGGCTGAATTTATGAAAGCAGAGAGGCAATGAAAAAATTAAGGTTAAAAAGTGAAACAATTGAAATGAGAGATAAATTGAAAGGAATTGCAGTGCTCAGTAGAATTTTTTAAACTTGCTTTCCAATGTTCTCAACTGTGAACTGAGATGTATTTTCATGACATACTTTTATGCCAAATTCCAAAATTATATTTTGCACAATTATGGAGTGTCAGTAGAACCCATGAAACTTTAGTCACCACCTAAGAAACTCTTTGAAATTATGCTTTTAGCTGCTCTAGTCAAGTAGTGAAAAGATTCTAACTCTTAGAGAAGGTTTCTAACACCTCATGACTATAATGCTTGTACTTGATTTGTGAGTTTCTTGAACATTAAATACACCTATATTCAAAAATAAGTACCTTCTGAAGCCAACTCAGTCACATTTCCATTTATCTACTGTTTTGGATTATCTGTGCATCTGCTTTTTCCTTCTATGAATGTGGATCACGAGTTGATTTCAGAAGTGTTTACATTTTGGTTTCCATGCCTCCAGAGTAGGAAGAAATGATCTCATAATGTCTGTCCTCTGGTGGTGAGACATCGGACTATATCTGCAAAGTCTGCATCTCTCCGGCTGTCCTGCAGTGATGTATATAGTACAATGCGGAAGGAAGAGCGTGTTCGCACAGCAATGCAACCCTCCTGATTAGCCCTGCTCGGATCCGATTTATGCTTTGCTCCTCGGCTTCGAGGTACTTAGGTGTTCAGTTTGCATTCTAGTCTGTTCCATTTTATACTCATATACTGTACACTTGTTTGGGCTTTGTTCCCCTTGTAAACAGATTTTTAAAAATCTAATATGTGAAAATAGATAGATAAATACTGTTGTGTTTGTTTTGCTTTAAAATTGTAAAAGATAAATTGTAAGATACTTTTATCTTTCTGGTTTTCCCAATATAGTTAAAATTAAATCTGACTTGTTAAAATTGAATTTACAATCAGTTTCTCCGTTGTACAACTTTATGTGACTCCATCAACACTGAGTTCTCGTACGGGAACACCGTTTCCCTCCTTACTTCAGGAGATGTTTGGCCCAGTTGTCCCTCAGGACACAGTACTGATTAGTTCACGTCTAAAAACAACGATCAGAAACCAAAATCATAGACGTGCAGATTTTCTCAGAAGAAACTAATGAAACTTGAGTGTTTACCCAAACTTGGGTATGAACCCAAACAAGCAATGGAAGAATAGAAATCAGCCCAGCAGTACCTTAAAATTGACTTTGGCATTTATCTTGTAATGCAAATACCAAAGAAACTTCCTGGCTCCTTGATTTGTTTACTTCTTTCTTTTTTATATATATTTTTTCTTTATTAAATGTATATTACTTTTTAAAAAAATGTTGTTTTTTTTTATTGATTTTAGAGAGAGAGGAAAGGAGAGGGAGAGAGAGACAGAAACATTGATGAGAGAGAACATTGACTGGCCGCCTCCTGCATGCCCCCCACTGGGGATCAGGCCCACAACCTGGGCATGTGTCCTGACCAGGAATTGAACTGGCGAGCTCTTGGTCATGAGTCCATGCTCAGCCACTGAGCCACACCTCTGGGCTGTTTAATTATTTCTTGCCTCAGGTATCTTCATATCGATTTTTGGCCTGCAGCACTTTTGACTGCATAAATAACTCTAAACATAGGCCTTGGTAATAGAAATGCTGATGAGACTGAACTGTCACCCCTCAAATGTATTGTTGACTATGTCTGTGCAAATGCCTGGGTCCCACACTTCATGTAAGTGAAGAACAAGGCGCTGTTCAGTGCCCAGCTCCCAAGAGGAGGGGAGGCCAGATGGATGTGCCCTCTGTTTCTTCTCCGGACTTTTCATCTTCCTTCCCTCCTTCCCCTACACTGAGCCCCATGAAATGGTCGCGTCTTAATATCTACAAGGCCAACTGAACACTCAGTGGGCCCAGTGTACGTTGTGGTCACTTCACTGGCCTGGGAGTCCCTGTCGTCTGTGATCTGTTTTCAGATCACAGAGGAAGGACGGGTAGTGCGGGGCCACCATAAAGGGTCCATCTACCATAAAATACACGTTTGAGTTTTCTCAGGGGAGGAATATGTTTTCCACAGCAGGCTGGTGAACTAACAATGTACAGGAGCCCATGAAGAACGCATTATCTTGGACTCTGTTGATGAGATTTGTGTATGGAACATCAGTTTTTTTTCAGACATAATTGAGTACATATTACCATGATATGAAACCATGAATACGTGCGGAGTGTGGGATGTTAAATTTTAACAAATGTAATGAAGGGGAAAATCAGAGAAAACCTGAAAATATACAATTGATAAAATAATTCATTTGAATATTTTGCTCAAAATATAAGCAAAGCATCTATTCCCTACATATTCTCTAAGCAGAAATTCAATGACAAAAACATGATTTAAAATTATTACCATATTTTTGTGGGGGATTGATTGTTTTAATAGGGCAAGAAGGCCTAAAACAGGGTTCTCCATCTGTGGGTTGCAACCCCTTTGGGGGTTGAAGGACCCTTTCACAGGGGTCGCCTAAGACCATCAGAAAACACATATTTCTGATGGCAATTTATTTATAACTAGCAAAATTACAGTTATGAAGTAGCAACAAAAATAATATTATGGTTGGGGTCACCACAGCAGGAGGAACTGTATTAAAGGGTCGCGGGGTTAGGGAGGTTGAGCGCCACCTGCCTGCAGGGTGGTTGCCAGGCCTGGCGTGTGGCTCAGGAATGCTGGCGGTTCTTGCTTCTCCCCTTCGGGCCGGGAACCCCGTGTCCCAGGTCTCGGGTCTTTTCAGATCAGGGACGAGGGTGTTTTCTCCAAAAGCCTGGCTGACAGTTTCTCCTGGGAAAGAACAATCTGGCTGAGAAATGAGTCACTGGTCTAAAAGTATCTGGCACCTCGGCCACCTTAGTGGGGGTTGGCAGGAGGTCAGGGGGTGACCGCCTCACTCACAGGCAGCCACGGAATTACCATCATATAAATTGATTTGGGGGGGACATTGATCAAGCAAAAGAGGTAAAGAGAGTTAGGTTCGGATTCCAGCTACGGTTCCGACTTTCTGGACTCAGGAAATGTGTGGCGGGGACAAGAGGTGTGTGTCCCCTCCTGACCCCTCCAGCCACCGTTCTGTCCTCCGGGCTGCGTCGCCTCGGGCAGCTTCGCTCTTCGCTGTCTCCGAGTTATGATCCACAACGGCAGGGGACGTTTTTCTTCCTCCTAATGAGCCTGTCCGCCTTCATCTTCTCTGACTCTTGGCCTTTGCTCACGTTTGCACCAGTGACACGTCAGCCTGTGAGACACTCACAGCCTCGGGCGCTGGGGCGTGATTCCTGCGGGCCATCGGGGAGCGCGGCCACCGCTCAGCCCCTCCATCTGCCAGGCTCTCTCCCTCTGCGGTGCCACCCACCTTCCTGCCCACAGACTGAGACTGTGAGACTAATGAGAAAGGAGTGGGAAATAATGAGAAATGCACTGAATGTTCTGGACTCCTGGCAGAGAGGTGTTTGCTTAAGGCACTGCTAATGTTGTTGTGAGAACAGCAACATCAATTTCTGGTCCGAGGACCATTCTGCATGGGCACAGTCACTGGAGTGCTGAACCTTTCTCTTTCCCAAATAGCACAGACTTTGATGTTGCTATTTTTTATTTCCAGCTCCAAGCATGAATCTTTGCTGCATTTTTCAGGTAGGTGGCTAGGAGAGCTTGTATTTGTTGAAATCTCTCGGGTAATTCTGCATTACTTTGTTTTCTATCTGGGGCTGGGTGTATGAGTCAGTCAGCAGCGAGCACATACTTCATTGTGCGTAGTGTTCTGTACAGGCTTCGTGCTGCAAACTTACCACACCGGTGGATTTAAAATTCTCCTTTGCAACCCAGCCCGTCAGGTGTCCAATGATACCTTTAAGCCAGTTCGTATTTTTCACAGAGCCAGGTGCAAAGCTGCCAGGTAACATCTGCAAATGACTGACGTTGCTCTAATGGGATCTGCGTATGTTCAGCTCCATATGAAGATGTTTTTCATCTGACACAGAGTCATCTTTGGTCCTGTTCTCCACCCACTCCATTAAGCAGACACACCTACACATGTTACCAACTTAATCGGCTTTCAGAGGCGGGTGGTGCCTGGTGTTCCTCTTCCTGGTGCTAATATTTATGCGGATGCCTCTGGGGAAACCGCCACCCATCATACGTGCTTTCAGAGGGGAGGGGCAGCAAATCTTTATGGTATTACAAAGTCATTTTCTGACAATACTGCATGTCTAACCTACGTTTTCCAGTTAAAGTTTATTTGAGGATTTTATTTTATTTTTAACCATATGTTTAAAGATGGCAATTTTTCTCAAATGAGTTTCTGTAACTTGGAGGACAGAGGACTTGGGTCCCAGTCCCCTAGCTCTGCAGCTAATGAGCCCTGAAACTCGGGGTGGCACACAGCCTTTCATGGGCCACTAGGATGGGCCACTCGGCTCTCAAGGGCAGGCTGTCTGAAGAAGAAGCACACATCCCAAGTACACAGGCCTGAGTTTAATGCTCTGATACACTTTCTATTAGCAGGGTGATCTTGTGGAAGTTTTGCAGCCTCTCTTGGTTTTCTGACTCATAAAATGGGTATAATAATATGGACCTTAGGATGGTTATTTGGGAAGTTTATGATTTCATAGATATGGATGTGCCTGCCTAATGTCTGCACATGGTAGCTTTTTAAAAATATGTTCATTTTTATTGCCTATCTCTTGGGCTCTACTGGTATTTTATTTCAAGGACAATACAAATATTACAACAATAATACATGTTTTTTAAAAAATAAAAAAATTACTAGTAATTTCAACATTCTAATATTAGCTGTTTTCCTTTTTTCTGGGGTCCCTTCTAGTACATCTTAATATAAAGACTTAGGGATTTGTTACAGAAAATGCCTGCAGACAAATATGCAAATTCCTAGATTGGAAATCAAGCTATCCTATTTTACAATGACATTGTTATGAAATTAGGATCTCTTTACTAAAATAAATAACTGATCAGCAGTACTTGTGACTAAATAATTATTTAGTCTTATTTATTGTTTAATAGCTGAAAAACTGGTCCAAGAGAATTTAGAGAAAAAAAAAAATGGGCCCTTGGCCAGGTTTAGGGCAAAACAAGGTGTGATGTTAACAGCTGTCGGTTACTGAGTGCCTGATATTCGTGCCAAACATTCTTTATATTCATTATCTCTTTAATCCTTACAACCACCCAGGTAGCTAGGTATTCCTATCCCCACCTCTTCCACGAAGAGTGATCACGGTTCGGAAGGGAGGGAGTTGGATCTGCTCTCAGGCTGTCTCACCTTGAAGCCCAAAAGTCTGTCCTCTGTCCCCCTATCCTGCTGCCTCCCGGGGAACATCCCAGCTGAGCACAAAACTTGCCCTTAAGATTCTCAGCCTAAGTTTCTGAAAATTTCCCTCCTGGTTTAAAGTGATACTGAGATTTTATTGTCTCCTCGCGTAGTCATTCATTCCAACGTGGTAACAGTCCAAGCACCTCCCCTCCCGCTCAGGACATCTGTCACTTGTCATGTTGCATTTAGGACATCAGAGAAGGCATCCAGCAAAATGCACTGGGCTCACTTTTGTGACAGACTGAAGAAGCTGCAGCTGGATGTGCAGGCCTCCTTCAGCCGCCGTCGGATGGATTTCCAGATCTGTGGTACTTTTTAAGCACTTGATTGCAGCAAAGAGGAGAAACACGGAGTTGAAAAGGACAGCATCAG